GGTTTTTTTTTTAGATAGTCTCGCTCTGTCGCCCAGGCTGGAGTATAGTGTCGCAATCTCGGCTCACTGCAACCTCTGTCTCCCGGGTTCAAGCGATTCTCTTGCCTCAGCCTCCTGAGTAGCTGGGGCTACAGGTGCACACCACCACGGCTGGCTAATTGTTGTATTTTTAGTAGGGATGGGGTTTCACCATGTTGGCCAGGATGGTCTTGAACTCCTGACCTCAGGTGATCCACTTGCCTTGGCCTCCCAAAGTGCTAGGATTACAGGTGTGAGCCACTGCGCCTGGCCTTGTTTGTTTGTGTTTTGGAGACAGAGTCTCATTCTGTCACCCAGGTCACTCTGTCACTCAACAGCAACTGATGCAATTCTTCCAAATCCCAGTACATTTCAGCATCCCGTTCAGTTATAATTCTGTAAAACAACTTTCATCCCTCCTGAATAGTAACTGCTAAACTGAAGGCTACTTAGTTGACTGCTTTCATTAAAGCAGGCCTTTTGTAAAGTAGCCCAAGTTGAAATTTTTGCTGTTTTTTCTTGATCATTCTAGATTTACCTACTTCCTCTCCCAGAAAGTTGAAGAAATAAACATTAAGAAGGTGGTTAAATTTGGAAGGGTTCAGATGTCTTGGAGGATTAAAACAAAGAAAATAATAAAAATAAATTTTAAAAAATTAAAAATTAAATTTAAAAATTTCTAAAAATAAATAATCTTGGAAGGGAACGGTAGATTTTCTCACAGTGAGACTTCCGTTCCTGAGTATTCTGTTCATGACTATTCTGGCATAGCAGCATGGATAAAGCTTGGATCCAGGTGGCAGCAGAGCTGGCAGAATCAGGGATGGGGCCTAGCAGAGGCTGCAGCTGGCAGCTTGACTCACTCAGGTTTGGTGTTCCAAGATGGAGTTCAGCTTCTGGTGGTTTAAGGAATTTAATGACCATCTGTATTTGTGGAGATTGATTTTATTCCATTTTTTTCTTTTGTTAGTCTACATATGTTCTTTTAATGGTAACATAGATATTTTTAGTATGTATACATGATAAAGTCAAATTTTTTTTTTTTTTTTTTTTTGAGATGGAGTTTCACTCTTGTCGCCTGAGCTAGAGTGTAATGGCTCGATCTTGGCTCACTGCAACCTCCACCTCCTGGGTTCAAGCGATTCTCCTGCCTCAGGCTCCTGAGTAGCTGGGATTATAGGCACGTGCCATCATGCCTGGCTAATTTTTGTATTTTTAGTAGAGACGAGGTTTCACCATGTTGACCAGGCTGGTCTGGAACTCCTGACCTCAGATGATCCGCCTGCCTCAGCCTCTTAAAGTGCTAGGATTACATGTATAAGCCACCACGCCCAGCCATAAAGTCTAAATTTAATCTTTATTTTCTTCCAGAACATTCAGGGAACTCAGAATGCATTAACTTCATTCATCCCCTTTGCAATTTATGTGCTTTTTTTTTTTTTTCTGCCAAGTATCTTAGTTATATATTTTAAATGTACAAATTAGGAAGTTTTACTATTTTATGCAATCAGTGTGTGTAGATTTTCCCTTATAGCTACTAGTATTTTTGTTCATCATTCCATCTTGTGTCAATGACCTTCCATCTGGGATAGTTGTCTCCTCTTATTTAAGTACATGCCTTTAAAACCCCCTTTCCTTGAAGATCTCTTCTTTCAGTTCTTGTTTGACTGCAGTGTCTTTATTGCTTTCTCAGGTAGGATTTAGAATACTAGGTTTACAGTTATTTTCTCTTAGTACATTGACGATACAAAGCTTAGCTAGATTGCACCATCTCCTAGCTTTTATTGCTGCTATTTTGAAGTTGGCTGTCAGTCTAATTGCTGTTCCTTTGTAGGTGATCCATCTCTTTTCTCTGGCCTCTGGGATTGTATCATTTCCCTACAGTATTTCTAGGGATAGATTTCTATTTTTACTTGGGATTTGTTGGGTTTCCTGGATGTGAAGTTTTGTGTCTTTCAACAACTCTGAAAAATGCTCAATTTGTATCTCTGTATATTACCATTCTCTTTATTATCTCCTAGATATCTGACTAAATGTATATGAGACTTATTATATTCTCCATGTCTTTTTTATTTAAAAAATTATAAAATACACATAACATAAAATTTACCATTTTGACTTTTTTTTTTTTTTTTTTAAAGAGATGGAGTCTCTTAAAACTCTATCCCTCAGGCTGAAGTGCATGATTATAGCTCGCTACAGCCTTGACCTCCTTGGCTCAAGTGATCCTCCCACTTCAACCTCCCGAGTAGCTAGACTATAGGCATGCACTGCCACCATTTTGACCATTTTCGAGGGTTCAGCTGAGTGGTGCTAAGAACGTGCACATCATTGTGCTCGCCATACATTTTAATATCTTATGTTTTCCTTCTCTTAATCTCTCTGGCTGTATTGTGGGTGATCTCTTCACATCTGCCTTCCAGTTCACAAACTCACCCTCCAGCTATGTTTAGTCCGTTCTTTAACCTTTTCATTGAATTTGTAATTTCAGTTAACTCTTTATTAGAAGTTTTTTGTTGTTGTTGTTTATTCAAATTTGCTGGGACATTTTTATAGTCTCTTATTCCTTCCTCTCTTTTATTTCTTTAACATATTAAAAATTTAGGCCAGGTGTGGTGGCTCACGCCTCTAATCCTAGCACTTTGGGAGGCCAAGGTGGGCGGATCACCTGAGGTCAAGAGTTCCAGACCAGCCTGGCCAACATGGTGAAACCCCGTCTCTACTAAAAATACAAAAATTAGCCAGGCATGGTGGCTAATGCCTGTTATCCCAGCTACGCCGGAGGCTGAGGCAGGAGAATCTCTTGAACTCAGGAGGCAGAGGTTGGGGTGAGCCAAGATTGTGCCACTGCGCTCCAGCCTGGGTGACAGAGCTAGACTCCGTCTCAAAAAAAACTCCTTGGCTTCCTTGCTCTAATTTTCCTTCTAATTTTCCTCCTATCTCTGACCATCTCTTCATTTAACAAACTGAGCCACCACGCCCAGCTCGGAAATGTTCTTCTTCTCAGAGTTGAAAGCACAGAAAAAGTAAGAATGGTCAAGAAAAAATATAAGTGACTCATGTCCAGAGAGGCTTTATTTCAGTCTCATCCCTGTCATTACCAGAGCATCATAAAGTAAGTAATTACATTGAAAACACATATTTGTTGGTTATACAAAATAGTAGTCAACAACAGAGCAATCTAACTGGAAGTCTGCATGTCCCAAGCATTTCGTTTTGTTTTTTGAGATGTAGCAGTCCTTTCCTGAGATTCTGTGTGGTTGAGCATAGACTACCTTGAGTTGTAGCACTCGAGTGATTTCCCTAGGGCTGCCCTAACAAAGTACCACAGGCCAGATGCCTTGAGACAGCAGACATTCATTATCTTACAGTTCTGGAGGCTACAAATCTGAAATTAAGGTGTTGGCCGGGCTATGCTGTCCCTGAATCCTAGCGGAGGATCCCTCCTTTCCCCTCCCAGCTTCTGGTAGCCCCAGGTGTTCTGTGACTGTGGCAGCATCATTCCAGTCTCTGTCTCCATCATCATGTGGCGGTCGTCCTTCTGTGTCTGTGTCTAAATTTTCTTCTTCTTGTAGGACACCAGTCATATTGGATTAAGGACCCACCCTACTCCAGTGTGACCTTTATCTTAACTTTAATTACATCGGCAATGACCCCATTCCCAACGACCTCATGTTCTGAGGTACCAGGGGTTAGGATTTCAGCATGTATTTTGAGGGAACACAGTTCAATCCATAATGACACACATGTTATAAACAAAGTTATCATGCAGTATAAGGGAATTACACAATTTTTTAAAAATATAAGAACTCTGTGATTGGGCATGGTGGCTCTTGCCTGTAATCCCAGCACTTTGGAAGCCTAAGGCAGGTGGATAACTTGAGGTCAGGAGTTCGAGACCAGCCTGGCCAACATGGTGAAACCCCGTCTCTGCCAAAAAAAAAAATACAAAAATTAGCCAGGCTTGGTGACGCTCGCCTGTAATCCCAGCTACTCAGGAGGCTGAGGCAGGAGAGTCGCTTGAACCTTGAGCCACTGCACTCCAGCGTGGGTGACATAGCAAGACTCTGTCTCAAAAAAAAAAAAAAAAAGAACTTTCTGCTCATCTGGCAGTATTTTTTCCAGAAATCAGATGACATACTGGCTAGAATGATTGGGTGGGGGTGGGAGGCGTGGAGAAGGTTACAGAGCTGAAGAGGCAGACAGTAGAGAAGGATGGAAAGGTCCAAGGGCCATGGGGCAGCATCCAAAAGGGTGGTGGGTATGCATTTTTAGTGGCTTAGCTGCTTTTTTTGTGGAACTTCTTGGTTTGGGTAGAAGATATTTCTGTATAAAGAGTATAAGGAAAATTGTCCTGAGACAAAGATAGTTACTTGTTATGTTTTTTTCTTATTTAAGTCATTAATTTTTTCTTCTTAATAAGCATTATTTGAGATAAATAATTTATTTTTAAAGGATAAATCCTGTTAAGACTATATCATAATTCTTGACATGATGGGGTATTTGTGGCAGAAAATAGCTTCTGTCCTTTTTTCTTATCTAGATGAGGCTTGTGGAAATGAGTCCCTTTCTTGGGGAAAGTCTCAGTAACTTAGTGAGAATTGTTTATGTTATGCCTCCCAGTGCTGTGCGTGCCTAGACTGTACTGAACTATTTTTGGTATGCAGCCTAATAAGGTTCCTTGTCACGATCGTGTTTAAATCACGTGAAATATTCAAATCATGTTCAGGGTTATTTTTTCCCTGTTTATGAAAGAACTCTATTTTTTCTTCCTACTGTGGACACTTGAATCTTCTATAAATGAGTTGGTCAGATGTCCTAAACCTGTTTTTCACAGCCTCATATCACTGGCAAGACATTTTGCTTTTGGTTTCAATCACTGTGCAGGGTTTTTTGGCCTAATGACCTCAACTTGATGATACTGTTGGTACTTAGTAATCTAATGTTTGTGTTTTTGTTCCCTTGTTTTTTTCTTTAGGATTCCTGGACTCCAGAGTTAAAGTTGAAGTTGGAAAAGTTTCTAGCTTTAATATTTAAAGCCAGCAACACGCCAAAGCTTTTAACAATATATGTATCCTTTTGAAGCAAATAGAGACCACCTATGGTTTTAGAGCAGATTTTATTTAGAGTAGCACACTGGCTTAGGTTGCCTCATTAAATAGGGATAATTAATAGTGCTACTTTCATATTTACAAGATCAAAGAATCATTAGTGGCAGGGCCTATAGAGATCAACTTCTTTATCATTAGGTCTCTGAGACTTTCTTTTTGGCGAGGTCTTATTTTGATGTCATGTGGCTAGAAGCTGTCTTGGTAGAAAAGAAAGTTTGTCTTCTTGTAAAAGAACTCCTTGGGATAATTGTCCATTTGCAAAATATCACTTAACCACTTTTAAGGCCTTCAGGCCATGGCATATGGATCAGGTAACAATCTAACTTGTCATTCAAATTGGGATTTCTTTTTAAATAACTTTATTGAGGTGTAAAATCTACCCATGGTAGGTGTACAGTTTAATGCTTTTTGGCAAATGTACAGAGCTGTGCAGTATCACCACAGTCCAGTTCAAACTGGGACACTTTTGAGAGTAAAATGGGGCACTAACTGGACAAAGTGCCAGGGTGACAGGTGTAAATAGAGCCCGTTTCAGGAAGAGCAGAACATGAGGTCACCCGACCCATGGAAGACTCGTTTCCCAAAGGTTATTAGTCTCTAAAGACAAGTGTCTCCTCTTATTCGGAAGAAAAATGTATCCAAAGTTATTTCATAACAAGAATATAATGTTTTGAATCATAAAATTGGTGATTGTTTTGTTTTATTTCAGGAAAAATATAGGCTACTTTGCCACATAATACCTTCTGCTTCGTTTCTAACTCCAAAGCATTTGACTTTCTTGACCTAATTGAGGTTTTTTTGTCACTAGGATTCTATGCTGCTTTTCTTCTTGAGCTTCCTAAGCCTTCCCTGTTGCCCGTCTTCAGATTCCTTAGCCTGGCCTGAGCCAAACAGACTGATCTACAGCTCTCCTCTCTGCCTTTGTATCCTTAAGGCTTTTGTTTAAATTCTTCTCTTTACCTACATACCATGATGTTGGCGTATCCAATCCTTTTTCTTCCTAGAGTTTCATATACAGTGGTTTTCAATGAAACTAGAACTTTTTCAATTTGACTTATAATTATTTGAACATGCTTTTAAAAAGTGTTTCTCGGCTTAATTTTTTTTTTTTTTTGATACTGCTCCTCTTGGAACAGGGCTACCCCATAGGCAGTGTGCCCAGAGTAGCTCAGCTTAATAATTATGGGTGCCAATATGTTAAGAATCTAATCAAAATGATTTACATGGTAAATCATATTAGTTATATTAATAATATATTAGTATATTCAAAACAGTAGCTTACTGGGCCCTGTGACTCACGCCTACAATCCCAGCACTTTGGGAGGCTAAGGCGGGAGGATCACTTGAGCCCAGGAGTTTGAGCTCAGCGTGGGCAGCGTGGCGAAATCCCATCTCTGCAAAAAGTACAAAAAGTTAGCTGAGCCTGGTAGCGTCCACATGACTGTGGTCCCAGCTATTTGGGGGAGACTGAAGTGGGCAAATCACCTGAGCCTGGGAAGTTGAGGCTGCATTGAGCTGTGATCGTGCCATTGAACTTCAGCCTGGGCAACATAGTGACACCCTGTCTCAAAAAAATAAGAATAAAAAAAAATCATAGTACCTATTTTATAGGAAGATTATGAAGATTGAGTTAATACATATAACTTGTATGAAACAGTCCAGTATATAGTAAGTGCTTGATAACTGTTAGCTATTGGCATTAGAGTTTTTAAGTACTTGTCACCTTTCATCCTGTTCTACATGCTTTGAAGCATATGCTGAAATATAGCAGGTCACTATAAATAACATTCTAATATTTTCCTTGTTACATGAAAATATTTGCAGTTCAGTTCAATACATTAAGCTTCTGCTATGAGTCAAATATTGCTCTAGGATTTAGGGATATAAAGAAAAGGCCAAGGTGTAATTCTCTTAGCCAAATTGGAGCTTTGGACAATAAAATGGGAGTCTGTGAGGCAAACACAGGAGGGATGGGAATTACAGGTAGAGGAAACAGCCTGTGCAAAGGCACTGAGACAGTGCCTGGGAAACTAAAATAATTTAATATTGCTGGAGCAGAGTATTGACGTAGGCAAACTCAGAGACTAGGCAAGGCCTAGGTCATAAAGGTTTATGCAAAGTCCTATAAGGAATAAGGAGCCTTTGAAGCATTTTAAGCAGGAGAATAGTTGTGTTGCAAAAAATCACTTTTTACTTCCTGATTATAAAATCAACTGTATTACTTATACAAAATTTGGAAAGTACAGAAATGTATTTGATACAGACATACCCCCGAATTGTAATAAATGTAGGTAAATGTATGTGTGCGTATATTTCTATGTATTTTTATCAAAGGAAGAGAACATCGTCCCATATCATTAAATAGCCTTCAAAAGCAGATTGAGTTCCCTTAGAGGTTTAAACAGAGTTACCACATGACCCAGGAATTGGAGTCCTAGCTATATACCCAAGAGAAATGAAAACATACATATGTCCACACAACAATGTGTACACAAATGTTCACAGTAACATTATTCATAATAACCAAAAAATGCAAACAACCCAAATGTCTATCGTCTTATGAATGGATAAACAAACTGTGGTGTTATTATCCAAATGATGGAATATCATTTGATATTATCCAGCTGTAAAAAGGAATGAAGCACTGATTCATGCTGTAACATGAATGATCCTTGAAAGTGTTATGCTCACTGAAAGAAGCCAGTGGCAGGGACCAGGTATTATATGACTCTATTCATAACATGTCCAAAAGAGGCAAATCTGGAAAGACAAAGTAAATCAGTGGTTGCCAGGGGCTGGGGAGAGCAGGGAAAATGGGAGTCACTGCCAGTGAGTACAGGGTTTCTTTTGGAGGATGATGAAAATGTTCCAAAATTGATTGTAGTGATGGTTGCACAACTCTGAAAACACTGAAAACCACTGAAATGTACACTTTATTTATTTATTTATTTGTTTATTTATTGAGTCAGAGTTTTGCTCTTGTCCCCCAGGCTGGAGTGAAATGGCACGATCTCGGCTCACTGCAAACTCCACCTCCTGGGTTCAAGTGATTCTCCTGCCTCAGCCTCCCAAGTAACTGGGATTACAGGCACCTGCCACCACACCTGGCTAATTTTTGCATGTTTTCTTTTTTTGAGACGGAGTCTCACTCTGTAGCCCAGGCTGTAGTGCAATGGCACGATATCCACTCATTGCAAGCTTCGCCTCCCGGGTTCACGCCATTCTCCTGCCTCAGCCTCCTGAGTAGCTGGGATGACAGGCTCCTGCCACCTCGCCTGGCTAATTTTTTTTTTTTTTTTTTTTCCCCAGTGCAGATGGGTTTTCACCATGTTAGCCAGGATGGTCTCAGTCTCCTGACCTTGTGATCCATCAGCCTCAGCCTCCCAAAGTGTTGGGATTACAGGCGTGAGCCACTGTGCCCGGCTAAGTTTTTGTATTTTTGTAGAGACGGGGTTTCACCATGTTAGCCAGGATGGTCTCAATCTCCTGACCTGGTAATCCCCCCGCCTCGGCCTCCCAAAGTGCTGGGATTACAGGCGTGAGCCACCACGCCTGGCCTGAAAGGTACACTTTAAATAGGTGAATTGTACAGTATGTGAATAAAGCTGTTACCAAAAAATTGAGGAAAAGTTTAAGACAAATTAAGGGAAAAGAAACATGTTAAGTAACTGCCTTCAGTCATGCAGCCAGACATGTGGGAGCTGAGATTTGAACCCAGGCAGTCTGGCTCCAGTGTCCGTGGTCTTAGCAACACTGTGCTATGCTGTTTTCACCTCAATATCAGTTTCCTTAGGATCAAGCTTTCAATTGAAGTTAGAGTTGAAGTATGTATAAAATCAGATTTCCATTTTTAGTAGAATGGCTTGGTAGCAGTGGGGAAGGCTTTTGGAATGGGATAGGAAGGGGATAGGAGGCTTTTGAAATAGTGCAAGACTTGAATTCAGACAGTGATAATTGAGATGGGGAGAAGAGGACTTGTTTGGGAGTGAGTCCGGTGAGTATGGAGAAGTTGCTTAGCTATTTATAGCAACAGGTGGAGCTAGCCCTCCCGGCCCGAGAACTCTGTTTCACCATGCTGAGGTGCTTTCTCACATTGGCCACAGGATGTCCGATACCCCAAGTACTGTTCCCTGAATGCCTGTTTTCCTGAACTTCTTTTTCATCCCAGAAGGAGAATGGACAAAGTAACAAAGGTAAATCATCTAGATTTAAATTTGTCTAAAAACAACTTTACCAGTTCAGGTTTTAAGTAGTAAAATCGGTGCAAAGATGGAGAGAATTCCTGATTTTGGCTTTAAGAGTTTAAATACTTATGAAAGGCTTTGCAGTCATATTGATCTGCAGTTCCTTGAGGCCCATTTTCAGGAGGGCCAGTATTGTTATCTTCGCCTTATATATCAGATAGCTAAGCCTCGGGGAAATGAAGAGAATCCAATAATGTCTCAAAGGGAAGTAACTGCAACAGCAACACATTTTCCCTAGAAGGCATAGGGCGGCATGGATAAGGAGAGAATTCTTTTAATTTAATTTATGTTAATTATTTTAATATGTTTAACTTTTACCTTGAACTAGTCAACTGGGGTCTTTGAAGACATATGGAGTACCCATTCTTATCAAGCATTTTCCATTCCAAAGTAGGAATTCCAGCCTTCAGTTTGTAGCATAAAGTGTTATTTTTCCATGGTCAATCATTTTTACCAGAACTATTCACTTTTGAGTAAGGTGAGAAAAAGTATAGTTAATATGAAGTTGGTGGCCACAGCTGGGGCACTGTGCCTCAGTTTTGCCTTTGATACTACATTTTGAAAGCTGCTTAAATGATGATGCTGGGAAGGGCCTGTGATGGCGTGTCATCCTTCTGGTGAATGTTGATGGCATAACCCTCAGTTCCCAGCAGGTGGAGTGTGACTACAGGAGATCTTGTTCCATGCACCAGCACATTTGCCCTTTCAAAGCAGAGTCATGTCAGAGAGGATTTCAGAACTTCCTGCCATTGCTTTTTCCTGTTTCTTTTTAGGGAGTGAAACTCTTTTAAAGAAAGGAAGCATTAATTAGTAAATTATTTAGCTCTTTGCTCACCAGGGAGTTGGCAGTTGAGCAGTGGGGTTTGTCAACCTCGGGAGAGCTTGGGTTTGGGTTTGTCACTCAAGATGGCTTTGGCAGCATCAGCCTTTGAGAAGGCTTTGGATGCTTGGTTTCGCTCTTGGTAGCCTCAGGCATCCCCAGCTCAGCCATTCTAAGTGTGCTACTGGTTCTGCCAGCCATGCTGACCCTTCTGTCCCTCAGAGGGGACAGGCCCTGCTGACCCTTCATGGAGGAGCAGGGCTACAGATGTGGCCCTACGGTATCAACCTAGACTGCTCCAAGGGTCACAGGAGCACCCTGAGTCTTGGAGCTCCCCAAGGTTGCCCTGTCCCCAGCACAGTATGTGGAGGAAGAGTCCCAGTCTGCATCCTCAACCCTGCAGGCCGCTCTCTCAGTTCTAACCTGGGCCCAGGCCTTGGCCAGGGTGCATCGCGGGCCAGTTTGCTCACATCCAACACAGCTAGTATCTTCAACTGGGCTGGGAATTTGGATCTCGCCCTGCAGCTCCTGGAAATGCACCTCAGCCTACTGTTCCATTACTGCCTGACAGACCATCCCGACTTGGGGGCACAAAACAACGACATTCACTTATGATGGTGGTGATGAGCCTGCATGGTCTGGGAGCTGTGGGCTCAGTGAAGCTGTTCTCCCTCAGCATGTCTCTCCTGTGCAGTCAGGTGGAGCAGGGTGGGGCCAACTCCAGGCACTCACACGCAGAGTGGTGGTCGGTGCTGGCTGTCACCTGGAGTCTCAGCAGGGGCCCTTGACGAGAACACCTCTGTGGCCTTTCCTTGTGGCCTGGGCTTCCTCCAGGCATGTTGCCTGGGTTCCAAGGATGAATGTCCCCAGAGAGAGCCAGGAGGAAGCTGTATCACTTTTTCTAACCCAGCCTCTGAAGGAAGTCAGTTATTTCTACTGCATTCTGTTTCATGCAAGTGAATTACTTAGGGCCCCTCACCTTCAGAGAAAGATTACATTCCTCTTCTTGATGGGAAGAAGGTTGTGTCAAAGACTGCAGGCATTTTAAAACCGCCACCGCACTCTGCATCCCTGGACCCTAGAGAACTGCCTTAGTTGTTAGTTGAATCTGCCAGGTCGCTGTTCTGAACTAGCCTTTGGACTCCCAGGCGGGGGGGGCGGGAAGGTGGTGAGAGACTCTCCCTGGTTCCCGAGTTTCTGCCGCTCGTGTGCCGCTAGCATACACTGCATTTTTGAGCATAGCTTTTTTCTGGGAGCATTATGTCCATCTGATAAGTGGCCCAGTTTTGCAGATCAAATAAACATGGGAAGGGGAATGCAAATAAAAGAGCTGTATTTCTCTACAGGTTTTTAATGTTGGAATTTCAGTAAGGAGACCAGTTTTTAAGCCTTCTTTAGGGTTGATTTTAACTGAGTTTTCTGGAAGCCAAGCAGAATGGCTGTGGATTTGAGTCTCACAAGCAAAGTGCGTCTGTGGCGGAGTGAACTCTGTAATGCGGTGTTGCTATGGAGATTGGAGATTCGTATTTGGGGCCCAGGCATGAGAGTCATTTGTCACCCCCTTGTCTCTTCATCCTGCAGCTAAGGCTGCAGTAACCAAAGGCACAGACATGCCCCCAGTTTAATTTAATTCTAGACTCAGGCATTGTTTTAAATGAAGTGGTTACGTGATATCATTGTTCTGTGTATCTTGATAGGAAGTTTTCATGCCTAAAGTGAGATTGCCATAAGCTTTTAAAGAAGGAAAGAAAGGTACTTGCAGCAGAAACTTCTCTCAAAAGGAATTACGTTTGAAATGTTGTATGAAATAAAAACAGGTTGACTATATAGTAACATCGGATTATTATTTTTACCTAGTCACTTAAAAAGGATACAGAAATAGTATCTTTTGGCATTTCTAGCATGAATTGATTCAACCCTTTCAGAAAATGAGCAGTTGATCATTTTTCTGGAGTTTGGAGCCCTAAACAGTATTTTAAAAAATAATGACTCATATTCATAAGTTATATTGTAACTTTCTTCATCCAGTATCTGTGGATTAGCAAAGTAGCAAAGAGATAATTTTTATCTGAATAAAAACAGGAAAAAGTATATCATTATAAAGACAGAGGGGTTAATTTTAGCTTTTCACAGTGGGTGAGAAAAACAATTCAATATTTAAAAGTTGATCATTTTGTCTTGAGCAGCCAATTAAAATCTCATTTACCCTTAAAAAAAAAATGCAGTGCCCTAAGTGAAGTAGAAAGGTTAAAAAAGAAAGTCTCAGTGACAGGGGAGATATTTACATCACTGTTATGTCAGTAGTTTGGGATATGAAGAGTCTCAGTAAATTTCACTGGCATGACTAACATGGTTTTATTAAAATAACATGAAGGTTATAATAAGACATCTCCATTAAAAGTTGAGGTCTTGCCACTAGGCGTGGTGGCTCATGCCCATAATCCCAGCACTGTGGGAGGCTGAGGTGGGAGGATAGCTTGAGGCCAGGAGTTTGTGACCAGCCTGGCCAACATGGTGAGACCCTATTGCTACAAAAACTAAAAAAAAATTAACGAAGTGCGGCAATGCCCATCTGAAGTCCCAGCTACTCAGGAGGCTGAGATGGGAGAATGGTTTGAGCCCAGGAGTTGCAGCGAGCTATGATATGATTGCACCAAAGTCTGGCATGGTGACAAAGCCAGACTCCATCTCAAAAAAAAAAAGAAGAGGAGGAAGTTGAGGTCTTGCATGGCAAGGCATCTTGGCTTATCTGTTCTTGTCTCATAAAACTTTTGACAGGGAAAATAGAAAGTCCTGTTTAATGCTCTGAAATAAAGCTGATGTGTTTGAGCTGTCACCCAAGTAGCTTATAGTCATGGACAGGTCTTGTTTGTAGCTAGTTAAAGTATCTGCGAGGTGATGTCTCTGGGTAGCAGGCTGTCCTCCTAAAGAGTATACTGTTGTCCCTCAGTTTCTATAGGGATTGCTTCCAGGACCCCCACAGATAACCAAAGTCCACAGATGCTCAAGTCCTTTATATAAAATGGCATAGTATTTGCATACAACCTACACACGTCCTCCCATACACCTTAAATCATCTCTGGATTACCTATACCTAATGCAGTGTAAATGCTGTGTATATTGTTGTTATACCATTTTGTTTATGACATGAAAATGATATGAAAAAAAAGTCTGTATGTGTTCAGTACAGGTGCTTTTTTCCCCGAATATTTTTGACCTGAGGTGGTTGAATCCACAGATGCAGTACCCATGGATATGGAGTGCTGACTGTATTTGAAAATGGTCACAAACATTTCGGCCCTATTACCTGCTTCTCTGTTTCCAGTAGGCTGCAGGCAGTTTGGCCTTTTATCCCTGAGATGTGCCACACTTTGAAATTGTCGTAAATTCTGATTCTCGGTTCCCAAGGCAAAAGTTCCACAGATAATCTCTCTATGTTTAGTAAATTGCAGAATGAACTTCTGGGGGAAAGGGTTCCTTTGTGCAGTCCAGAGGGACTGCTTTGGGGACATTCACATTGGTGGTTTGGGAGATCATTGAGCCTAGCTAATGGGTTTTGGTACTCGATCCATCATGTACCACTTGGTCTGTGTTGAGAAAGTTTGCATAGATGTTCTCCAATACTTACTACTGCAATGTGGGATTATGAATACTATTCTGTAGAATTTTCATCTTTGGAAGTTTTAGCTTATCTAATTTTGAACTATGCATATATATGAAAAACTTTATTTGTATTTATTTACTTCTTTGAGACAGCTCTGTTGCCCAGGGTGGAGTGCAGTGGCATGATCTTGGCTCACTGCAACCTCTGCCTCCTGGGTTCATGCCATTCTAGTGCCTCAGCCACCCGAGTAGCTGGGATTACAGGGGCGTGCCACCATGCCCAGCTAATTTTTGTACTTTTAGTAGAAACGGGGTTTCACCATGTTGGCCAGGCTGGTCTCGAACTCCTGGCTTCAAGCAATTCACCCGCCTCGGCTTCCCAAAGTGCTGGGATTATAGGTATGAAGCCGCCATGCCCCATCTGAAACAATTTTCTTTTTTTTTTTTTTTTTTGGAGACGAAGTCTGGCTTGGTCGCCCAGCCTAGAGTGCAGTGGCATGATCTTGGCTCACTGCAACCTCCTCCTCCCGGGTTCAAGCAATTGTCCTGCCTCAGCCTCCCGAGTAGCTGGGATTAAGAGAGTGCACCACCATGCCTGCTAATTTTTGTATGTTTGGTAGAGATGGGTTTCCCCATGTTGGCCAGGCTTGTGGTTTGGGGCAGTGCTACCTCCTTTCGTCTAAAATGTCCTTCAAGAAAGAGGGCAGGTGGTGTGGGCAAAGAAGTGCTAACACCGATGGGGATTTGCCTGTTTCTGCCAAGACCAGAGCGGCTTGGCTTCAGTGTCTTTAGGGCTGCCCACGGGGGGCTTCCGAGCTGACAATCCTAGAGCCTTCCAAGCTACCTGCTCTAAGGCCTGGTAGGAGTGGTTTTATGCTTTACCAAACTGGCAGAATGATGGAATCTCTTCTGCATTCTTATTTTTCCTAGCATCAGTCAAGTAGTCCAAAATTTTATTTAAAATAAAGAAGTGTCCTGCAGATATGAATTGTCCCCCAGACGACTTCATAATACAAAAACAGAGAAAAAGACACAGGTTTGATTTAGGCATTTTGTGAGCTCAGTATAGAATAAAACATTTCTTTTCTTTTTTTTTGAGACAAAGTCTCGCTCTGTTGCCCAGTTGCCCAGGCTGGAGGGCAGTGGCAGGATCTTGGCTCACTGTAACTGCTGTCTCCCAGGTTCAAGTGATTCTCATGCCTCAGCCTCCTAAGTAGTTGGGATTATAGGCGAGCACCACCATGCCTGGCAAATTTTTGTATTTTTTTAGTAGAGATGGGGATTTCACCCATTGTTGCCCAGGCTGGTTTCCAACTCCTGGCCTCAAGGAATCTGCCCACCTTGGCCTCCCAAAGTGTTGGGATTACAGGCGTGAGCCACCACCAGCCCTAGAAATGTTTATTTTCTAGACATAGAAAAACTAAAAGAAATTGCATGAGGTTCAGTCAAGGGAATAGATTTTCTTAGGAAACCCAGTGAGGATTGAATTGAACTTCCTGAAAAGGAAATTTTAAGTCAGTTGGTTACAGCACTATGTAATAAAATGTGGCATAAAAATAGAAGTAAGTGTGAAACACAAATGGTGTTCCAAGTTTATTGTTACAACAAAACATTCTGACAGTAAGTATGGTAGTTCTTTGAGAAGAATACGATTATTTTTCATATTGTGGATTTGTATTGATGTTGTTTGTTTTATTTTAATATAAACTGTCTTCCTAGAAATGTTGCAGCAGCTCCACCAGCAGCTGGTTGAAGCTGAACGTAGGTCAATGACATACCTCAAACGGTACAATAAGATCCAGGCCGACTACCACAATCTTATTGGAGTCACAGCGGAACTGGTGGATTCTCTAGAGGCCACAGTCAGCGGCAAGATGGTAAGGAAGAGCCCCAATTGTGTGTATGTCTGTTTGGCAATGAAGAAGGCTTATGGGCATGGACTATGTTGATATGGCAGATGGAGTCTGCCTCTCTCCATTCCAAGCCATTGGCACCTGCCACTCTGTTTCCAAAAGCCAACATGCATGAAGGAGATAAGGCCGATATTTTTTACTGTTTTTATCAAGCTTCTTGCAGTGTTTTATCCATTTTTCTTAACATACTGTCTGCTATATCTTTATTTCTCTACCTTATTCTTTTTTTTCTTTTTTTTTTGAGACGGAGTTTTGCTCTTGTTGCCCAGGTTGGAGTGCAGTGGCGTGATCTCAGCTCACTGCAACCTCCACCTCCCAGATTCAAGTGATTCTCCTGCCTCAGCCTCCCGAGTAACTGGGATTACAGGCATGCGCCACCACACCCAGCTAATTTTATATTTTTAGTAGAGACAGGGTTTCTCCATGTTGGTCAGGCTGGTCTCGAACTCTGACCTCAGGTAATCTGCCAGCGTTGGCCTCCCAAAGTGCTGGTATTACAGGTGTGAGCCACTGCGTCTGGCCCTTTTTTGAGAAAATATTTTTCAAAAAATTGAGACATGGTCTTGCTTTGTTGCCCAGGCTGATTTTGAACACGTGGGCTCAAGTGATCCTCCCACCTTGGCCTCCCAAAGTGCTGGGATTACAGGTGTGAGCCATCGCACCCAGGGTCTACCTTATTAATATTAGCAAAGGATAAGTCTGGCGACAGAAAAATATGTGCTGGCAAAAAAATGAGGGGGACATGTCCTGCTGTCACATAGGAAAGCCACTGATTTTCTAATATTGGTTTCATATCCAGCTACCTTTCTAAATTCCATTAATCTTGAGTTTTTTTAATTGATTCTTCTGTATTCTAGATTGACAGTCATGTTATCAAATAATATTTGTGTTTTGCTTTTAAAATTTATCTTGACTTTTCTTGGTACATTGGCTATGGCCTGTGGGATATTGTTGAATAATGTCATCATGGGCATCTTTATCTCATTCCTGTCTTTTTATAAAGTACGATAAAATCTATTTGTGGACATACAGATATTTAAAAAATTGAAGTAACTGTAGATTCACACTGCAGTTATAAAAAATAATTCAGGCCAGGCACAGTGGCTCACACTTGTAATCCCAGCACTTTGGAAGGCTGAAGTGGGAGGATCACTTGAGGCCAGAAGTTTGAGACCACTCTGGTCAACATGGTGAGACCTCTGTCACTAAAAATATACAATTAAAAATAAAATTAGCCAGGCATGGTGTCTCACACCTGTAATCTCAGCACTTCGGGAGGCCAAGGCGGGCAGATCATCTGAGATCAGGAGTTCAAGACCAGAGCCCTGGCCAACATGGCGAAACACCATCTCTACTAAAAATACAAAAATTTGCTAGGTGTAGTGGAGCACATCTGTAATCCCAGCTACTCAGGAGGCTGAGGCAGGAGGATCTCTTGAACCCGGCTGGCAGAGGTTGCAGTGAGCCAAGATTGCACTACAGCCTAGGCGACAGAGTGGAACTATGTCTCAAATAAATAAATTTAATTTAATTTAAAAAAAGATGGGTCAGAGGAGGAAAGCTGGACTCTTTACTAACCTTTTTAATGTAAGATAACCGCGTTCTCATAGTAAAAGATTGAAACAATTCAGAGAAGCGTATAGTAAGGAACAAAAGCTCCTTCACCACAATGTTGTAGATTCATTTCCTTATTGATGTTCAAGATTGACATTGTCTTGTATATTATTTTAGAACAGTTCTCTGCATATGTGTGTGTGTGTGTGTACACACACATGTACAGCATTTGTACACTTAGTTGGGATCATATGATTCATTACTCTTCTGAAACTTGCTATTTCTCTTTCAATACATCTTGGAGATCTTTCCACATGACCAGATCCACCTCATTCTTTTTAATTCTTTTATACAATTCCATTATAAGGGTGAATCATTATCAGATCTCTGGTGATGAACATTTGGATTTTTTGTTTTTTTGTTTGCTATAACAAAAAATGTTGCAGTAGACATCCTTGTGTGTATACTGTACATCTTGATAAAAAAATTTTTTTTTTTTTTGAGACGGAGTCTCACTCTGTCGCCCAGTCTGGAGTGCAGTGGCACGATCTCCGCTCACTGCAAGCTCCGCCTCCCGGGTTCACGCCATTCTCCTGTCTCAGCCTCCCGAGTAACTGGGACTACAGACACCCGCAACCGCGCCTGGCTAATTTTTTGTATTTTCAGTAGAGACGGGGTTTCACTATGGTCTCAATCTCCTGATCTCGTGATCTGCCCATCTCGGCCTCCCAAAGTGCTGGGATTACAGGCATGAGCCACCGCGCCTGGCTAGACAGAGCCTTTTATGTGGCTGAAGCAGACCAGAAGTTTCTAGCAGATAGGCAGGAGGCTCAAGAGGAGAGAAAAGGGCCCAGCCCTTTCCAGCTCCGCAGGGGTGGAGTAGCCCTGCTTGCCATGCAGGCCCGGGGGGATGGCCTTCCTCCCATGCAAGGGTATGAGCAAGGGGTGGGAAAGCAGCCGCTTCTACTGCCATGTGGAAGTTTCCCCTGGTGGAATCACGGAGATGCGGAAGAGGAGGCTCTTTTCCAATTATCATGCCTAAAAAAAAGTGTGGAAGTCGTTATCTGCAGGGATTGGTTTGTGGGGGAAGGGTGGGATTCAGGAGAGGTTGTGGTACTTGTACGTTGAAATGAGCATACATTATTTTTCTAAAAAGAAAATAGATGAAAAAAATTCCAAGGTGACCACTTTCGATGTTGTAGGTCAATCCTGAATTCTCGTAGCTGGTGAGAGAGGCACAAGAGATGCTAAAGGAGAATGCAGGATCCAGCAGCATTGATGGCAACAGCAGCTTGGCCGCACATGGTCAAGCACTGGATAGTTGATTAAAAGTGTTTCCATCACTCATTCAGCAAGCACTGGCTGAGCCACCTGTCATGTGCCAGGGATATCTGTGACCTCATTTAGCTGCTCACTGCGACTGTTACAATAAAGGTGTGGAAAGCGAGAGGCAGAGCTGTTGGTCTTCTCGAGTCCAGGACTTGAGCCCTGATCTTCAGATATGAAGCTTGGCTCTCTTTCCCCCACATTATGGTTGTCCAGTGACTTTGTTATTTATTTGTAATTTACCAAAATGGTTTAGGATCTGTTTATTCTATATGACAGTGGAGATAGCTGAAGTGGAGTTAGATAATTTGCATCTGATGTCTCATGAGCACACCTGCAGTGTGTTAGCACCTTGTTCTGTCAGGGCCGGTGCTTTCTCTCCTCCCAAGAGCTCTGATGTTAAAGCAAATGATTATTTTTCTAGCTTATATATCTCATCATCGTGCCTTACAGTATTTTTCTAGCTTATATATCTCATCATCGTGCCTTACAGAAAGCTGTTGAGAGACCACTCTAATGATTGCCAGCGTGCCTCAGGTGTCCCTCGGTGAATTTCATGCCGTCACCAGATGTCTTTGTGTCCTCCTTGCAGATCACCCCTGAGTACCTCCAGAGCGTCTGTGTCCGCCTGTTCAGTAACCAGATGCGGCAGAGCCTGGCGCACAGTGTGGACTTCACGAGGCCTGGGACGGTGAGGCTCTGCGCTCAGGGCAGGGTGCCTGTGGTCTATCCCCCCCAATTTAAAAAGAATGTAACTTTAAAAATAGCATGAGAAAATAACATGCCAAAGACTGCATTTAAGCTGCCTTTGGAAGTCTAGAAACTTCTAGAAGGAAAATAAATCTGTTTTAAAAGAAGGTACAGCTGAAAGCTGGCCTCCTAGGGAGAGTGAGGAGAGAGGCATGTTCTGCTACCAGTTGCAGCCACTCAGTGGGGGCTCCCAGGGTTGGGGATCAGTAGGAATGGATGGAAACTTTATTCTCCTTTTTTAAAAGTACTGCCGTGGTGGAAGTTGTGTGGTCTAAAGCAAGGGCACTTTTTTCCCCCTAACTTTTTACTTGGAATAATTACAAAATTATAAAAGTAGCACAAAGGACACTGGTATACCCTTTACCCAGATTCACCAACTGTTAGCATTGGCCCCTTCCTTTGTTGTGTCTCTACACATACGTGAATATGCACACATAGGCACACAATCTGTTTTCTGAACTATTTGAAGATAAATTGGATATAGTATGACTCTTTACTCCTAAATACTTCAGTGTGTATTTCTTCAGGTTAGGAATATTCTCTCATATAACTATGCAGTTACCAACTTCAGTACATTTAACATTGATACAGCCTTCTTATCTGTTGTCCATTTTCCAATTTTGGTAGTTGAGTCAACAATGTCCTTCATTGCGTTTCCCGTCCTCTGGTCATCTAGGGTCAATTGTCACATTGAGTTGGCACAGCTCCTAGCCTCTTCTAATCTCGAACATTTCCTCAGCCTTTCTTTGAGTTACATAACATTAACATATTAGAAGAGTATAATTTTCCCCCTTTAAAAAAAATAGAACATTTCACTGGGTGCGGTGGCTCACACCTGTAATTCCAGCACTTTGGGAGGCCAAGGGGGTGTGGATCACTTGAGGTCAGTAGTTCAAGACCAGCCTGGCCAACATGGTGAAGTCCCATCTCTACTAAAAATACAAAAATTAGCTGAGCGTTGTGGCGGGTGCCTGTAGTCCCAGCTACTCGGGAGGCTGAGGCAGGAGAATCGCTTGAACCTGGGAGGCAGAGGTTGCAGTGAGCTGAGATTGTACCATTGCACTCCAGCATGGGGGACAAGAATGAGGCTTCATCTCAAAAGAAAGAAAAAAAAAATAGAACATTTTTCCTTTTGTGTTTGATGTGTCCTTGTAATTAGAGTCAAGTTCCCTGAATCACCTAGGCCAAATGTGACCTCAGTGATCGTGTGTCCTCCTTAGGCTGGCACACCTGGAGACCCATGGTTTTGAGGCAGGCATTCTTAACCAGGGGAGACACCAGTGTCTCTCAAACTCTTCAAAGTACAGGAACCCACGGGCCAGGAGCTCACACCCACCTGCTGCCGCATTTGCAGGCTGGGTGAGTGAAGCCCTATGAAGTCAGCTGTATAGATTTTTTTTTTTTTTTTGAGACGGAGTCTGGCTGTATAGATTTGGAATGAGGCTCCTTTGTGATCCTGAGGCACCCCTGTGGGTCAGAGCCACAGCTTTTAAATAAGGGTTTGCACGTTAATATAATACTAGAGTCTTAATAAACAGAAGCCTTTTTTTTAGTATTTTAAAGAAAATTTATAGCCTACCTAATTCTCAAGTAGATTTGAAGAAGTTTATTATAATATGAGAAAACATAAATATGAGAAACGAGAATGTAGAAAATAAAAATAAGTAAAGAAATTGTGGTTAAGGGAAAATAAGGGTGGGAAAAATGAAAGTAAGCAAGGGCTAACACTGGTACAAAAAATGCGTGCTGCAAGTTGTTCCTCCGGAAAGGTGGGCTGCAGATTAGGCTCTGAGCTTTCTAGCAGTCTGTGCAAAGAGGGAAACATGAGCAGTTATATGATTCCCAGTGCTTATAAAGCAGGAGAGGGCAGTTACATAACTTTTATTATGTAACATTTCCTGCATCCAAAACAACATATGTGCTGCATATGCAGGCTAGGAACCATGACAATAAAACAAACACCCACAAGTCCGCCACATGTGGCCCGAAATAGACCATTTCAGTGCTGCTGAAGTTTTCTACCCTTCAGACTTCTTCCAAGTAGGTGTATTACTATATAATTTAAAAACAAGTTTAAATGCTTTTTTTTTTTTTTTTAAACTGGATGGTCAGACAACTGCTTCACACAGTTATTCCTGGTGCTAAGACCCCGGGATAGTCTCTTGAGTCAGCAGTTTCTATGGATCTTCATAGAAAGCACGTAGTCATGTGCTGAAGAGCAGGCGGCCTTGACCACTTCCTCCCAGCCTAACAGAAATATCTCAGAATGGCTGGCTCTGTCAGCTGTTCCACACACGTGGACAGACAGATGGTAGAAGCGGAGTCTTTGGGACATGGCCGCAGTGATTTTAGCATGCTGAAATCTTAGAGAATCAGCCATTTTTAAAAGGTCAGTAAAGTCACCATTGGATATGCAAGTCTTAGAAAAGTAACTTCCTCATGAGCCCTCCAGAAGAAGGACTTTAAGCCACATCCCCGAGAATATGGCTGACCCTCTGTCCACTGTCCAGTTAACATTCGGACAGTTAGGACACAGAGTGCGTTTACCGAAAATTGTGGCTTTCTCATAGCAATTAGCATGGCAGGATCTGTGTCTACTAGGAGCACTCCTTTCTTGCTCCTTCCCATTTATTTGTTAATTCATCAAATATTTAGTGTTTTCTAGGTTCAGTTTATAAAATCCGATTATATCTTTTTTTTTTTTTTTGAGACGGAGTCTCGCAATGTCACCCAGGCTGGAGTACAGTGGCACAATCTCAGCTCCCTGCAAGCTCCACCTTCTGGGTTCACATCATTCTTCTGCCTCAGCCTCCCGAGTAGCTGGGACTACAGGTGTCCGCCACCATGCCCGGCTAATTTTTTTGTATTTTTAGTAGAGACGGGGTTTCATCGGGTGGTCTCGATCTCCTGACCTCGTGATCTGCCCGTCTCAGCCTCCCAAAGTGCTAGGATTACAGGCGTGAGCCACCACGCCCAGCCATTGTATCTTATATATACAAGCCATCCTTATATTCCCATCTTCTATAGAAGAAGTGATGTATCCAGTTTATTTAAAACTGATGTTGGTCGGACACAGTGGTGCACACCTGTAATCCCAACACTGGGAGTCCAAGGCAGGCAGATTGCTTGAGCCCAGGAGTTCGAGGCCAGTCTGGGTAATATGGTGAAAACCCATCTCTACAAAAAATACAAAAATTAGACTAGACGTGGTGGCTCACGCCTATAATCCCAGCACTTTGGGAGGCCGAGGCAGGCGGATCACAAGGTCAGGAGATTGAGACCATCCTGGCTAACACAGTGAAACCCGTCTCTACTAAAAATACAAAAAAATTAGCCAGGCGTAGTGGCGGGCGCCTGTAGTCCCAGCTACTTGGGAGGCTGAGGCAGGAGAATGGTGTGAACCTGGGAGGCGGAGCTTGCAGTGAGCTGAGATCATTCCACTGCACTCCAGCCTGGGCGACAGAGCAAGACTCCGTCTCAAAAAAAGAAAAAAATGAGCTGGGCTTGGTGGTGTATGGCTGTAACCCCAGCTACTCAGGAGGCTGAGGTGGGAGGATCACTTGAGCCCAGGAGTGGAGGCTGCAGCAAGAGGAGATCGCACCACTGCACTCCAGCCTGGGTGACAGAGTGAGAACCTGTCTTAAAAGAAAGAAAAAACTGATGACATGTTATTAAGCACGGTTTAAAAGGGAGCAGGGGTACGACATAACTGGTTATCCCACAAGAAGTTATCAATGCTATCTGTCAGGAGACAGTCCCACCACCCCTGACTGTTACATTAGCAGCAAAATACAGACTCTGTGTAACCACTGGAAACCAGGGAAGGGAGGATGAGTTATGTTTAGCTTAGTGATACCATTCTCCTTCTACTGAATCATTGACTTAGGAACACACAATAAAAGCTGCAAAAATTCTAGCCGATTTCTCTAACAAAATGATGAAAAGCGGATGGCGGGGTCATTGTCAAAATATAACAGAATATTGTTGTTGACTATGCATGCATATATAAAGTTGATTTATGATATCTGTCTCGAGTTCAGATTTACAATGTGTGAAGAAGGAAATTAAGAAACAGTTTAGATGCAACGTCCAGTGACTGGACTGATAGGATTTAGTATTTGGAAGGAGAAGATTGCTTGCTTTTTTAATAAGTTTTTAAGGGGATAAATTCTACTCTAGGGCCCAACAGAAGACCATCAATTTCAAGATAAATACGTGGCACAGATCAGCCTCCTTCACGGAGAGGTCTCAGGTCGGCTGGCCGTCAGGCGCTCTGTTGAGCTTGAGTGTTACTGCTAATTACATACTGTAAAGGAGCTTGGCTGGGCCCGGCCACAAAGCCGTTGGTGTCTATAAAGTTTGGTACACTTGATACTGGTTTTTATATCTGGCAGTTAACAAGAATCTGGGCTTCTACCAACTTACTTGCTGTTCAAAATTCAAAAGGGCCCTTAAATAGAGCCCCTCTTTCCCCCTGAGTTCTGAACTGATTGAAATATAGGACAAAAGAGGAAAGGAAAATGGAGCTGAAAATATCACTGTTGGTGCTGACAAAGCTTATATTGGAGAATGTGGATCTTTGTTTTTTTTGAGACAGGGTCTCGCTCTGTTATCCAGGCTAGAGTGCATTGGCACGATCAGGGATCACTGCTGCCTTGACCTCCTGGGCTCAAGTGATCCTCCCACCTCAGCTTCCTGAGTAGCTGGGACTATAGGCCTGCACCATCATGTCCAGCTAATTTTTATTTTTTATTTTTGTAGAAATGAGGTCTCACTATGTTGCCCAGGCTGGTCTCAAACTCCTGGGCTCAAGCAGTCCTCCCACTTTGACCTCCCAAAATGATGAGATGGGATCACACCCGAAATGATGGGTGTGAGCCACCACACTTGGCTGAGAATGTGGATTTTGTTTGTAGGCAGGTGGGGTCCTACTCTTGTGCC